AAAAGCAATTGAAGAAACCTAGATTGATAAAAAGTAAAACTGTTCATTTGCAGATAACATGATCATCTCTGTAGATAACAATACAAACTCTCCCAAAAGCTACTAGAATAAGTACATTTAGCAAAGCTGCAGAATACTAGATCAAATTCAAAATTTAATCGTCCCATGGGTATAAACACATGCCAAGCTTGTCAAATCATATGCTGTAAGTATGTGCAGTTTATTGAATGTCAATGGAACTTCAATAAATCTGTTTCAAAAAGACCTTAAAGAGAGACAGACAAAGAAAAGGGATGAAAAAGTGGCAGAATGGTGGAGTGACTCAGATTCTGACAGCTACAAAGTAAGCTGAGAACCAGTTGAGGACAGAACACATGTGGCAAAGTATGTAATAATTGAAGTTCAAGTACACATACAGCACTATTGATTGCCCATAAAATAGGACCTCTACTCCATAAAAGTATTATGAGAAAAGCCTCATGAATATTCAGTAAGTAGTAATTAAAGGTAGAGTCACACATGGTCTTGGGAGAAGGTAAGAGGAAGAATAAGGAGGGTTTTGTGCCAGAAACAAGGGCTGAGCTGGTGAAAAGAATTTGCATGCTGATAAAGGGGCTAACTTATGCCCACTGCACATATGGCTATGACACGTGCCTGGTGTGTACCCATTGCTGCAGGTCACTTCTGGCTGATAAGCAATGGCGACAGTGTGATATTCAGAGTTCCCTTGATGTCCCCCCATCACCCCACAAGAGCACTGGTAGGAGCATCAGCCCAAACTATTCTGCTTACGAACATGATAAGTATAAAACACAACTTTTGAGAGCAGAAACCACGTTTTATTTTTCTTGGTAGCCCTAGAGTCAAGCAATATCCCAGAATCACAGGAGAATCCCAGTTGTATTAGTTCCTAGAGTACCACAAACTGGGCAGAAATGCATACACTCACAGTTGGAGAGGCAAGAAGTTTGAAATCAAGGTGTTGGCAGGGCCCCACTCCCTCTAAAGCCTCTAGGAGATGATCCGTCCCTGCATTTTCCAGCTTCTGGTAGCCCCAGACATTCCTTGGCTTGTGCAGCATCACTCCAATCTCTGCTTGCATCCTCACATGCTGTCTTCCCTCTGTGTGTGTCAATATTTCTTCCCCTCTTTTCATAAGGACACCAGTCATACCGGATCGGGCCCATCCTAATTAAGTTTGACCTCATCTTAACTTGATTACATCTGCAAGGACCCTATTTTCCATATAAGGTCATATTTATAGATACAAGCGTTAGGAGTTGAGCATATCTTTCTGGTGAACACAATTCAGCCCATAATGCCAGGATACTATGACTTAATTGAAGAATACATTAAAGAAGAAAATGTAAAGGTACTCTACTTTCCTTCTGTCCACATGCAGACAGGAGTGCCCAGAACACAAAACGAATAGAGAAGGGCTAGGGCAATTTCTTGAAGGTTCTTGCAGGCACGTCCTGGGGTAGGGGTCTGTGAGTTTAAGGTCAGAGACAGTAGAGCTGGGAAGGCTTAGTCTGATGGGCCAGACTCTCTTCTCTAGTCTTTTCCTCAAGCTCTGCATCTCAGCCTTGTCTGAGGCCTCAAAGCCTGGATTCTGGATTGGGAGCTATAGGGGGACCTTGAAGAAATATGCTCAGTGGTGCATCACAGCACCTCGGGAGGGGGAACCCCAGGGACAATTGCCTACTGTTGCTAACTCACCTCTATATGAGCCCTTGAATTTTAGTAGCTAAAAGCTATAATATTGCTGAGACCATCTGTCCTTGTAAAAGCATTTGTGTATTACCTTACAGTTTATGCAGCATGGTAACTTACGAGAAAATAGTTATCTTCACATAACCCTTTGTTTCAATTTTATATATGAGAAAACAGAGACTTGGCAAGTGAAGTGACTAGAGATGGATCACATAATAAATAAGTGACTGTAGTAGATTGAATGACCCCCAAACTCACTGAAGCTTGAATTGTGTCCCCCAAGTTTTATGTATTAGAAACCTGGCCCCCGCTGTGACTGTTAAGAGGGTGGGGAATCCTATTATGGGAATTGAATGGTGGAGCCTTGAAGAGGTGATTGGATTGTAGGACCTTGCAGTAGTGAATGGGTTAAAAATGGTGGTCAGGGGCGTGGTTTGGTGGGCTTTAAACAGAGAGTGAGTGGGGAGGTTTCCCTCTCTGCTTTCTCTGCTCTACCTTTTGCAATGTGATACTCTGCTGTCACTGTAGCCACTGCCAAGGCTCTTACCAGATGTGTTCCCTGGACTTCCCAGCCTCCCAAACTGTAAGCAGTAAGTTTCATTTTTCTTACAAATCACCCAGTTCCAGGTATTTTGTTATAAGCATCAGAAACAAACTAATACAGTGACAGAACAGGGCACTGAACACAGGAAGCAGGCGCTCACCAGACCCTCAATCTGCCGGCACCCTGACCCTGGACTGCCTAGGCTCCAGAACTGTGAGAAATAAATCGTTGTTGTATAAGCCACCCAGTCGATCGTATTTTGTTACAGCAGCCCCCGCAGACTAAGATAATGCTTACACTTTAAAAACTTTAGCAGCCTGGGTTTTTCTTTGGGGAAGAAAGAAGAAAGAGTCAGGTGTTCAAAGGATTTTGTCCAAATCTGGCTGAATTGTGATTAAGTCCAGAGAAAGGTGAAAAATTCATTTAGCTTCAGTGATATTCTCGATTCCTCTCTATTCCCTTGAGTCTGGGAGCTACAGAAAACATTCTCAGAATGGGTGTGTGAAGGGAGGGGGTCCCCTGGTAATAGCTCCCATGCTTTAGTATTTAGGACACTGTGCTGAGAAGGATCAGCGTGGAATGGCTTTGGGGGTTGGGATACCTGGGCTCAGACACAGGATTTGTCATTTACTAGCTGATGTGCCCCTTCAATTTGTTTCATCTTCCCGAAGCTCACTTTGCGTTGATGTATGGGTTAAATAGATGTTGGTTCCTACTTGATCCTTCCTTCATCTTTTAAGCCAAGTCTTTGTTTCAGGTCTGGTTTCCTGCAGTGAGACCATATACATACCCAGGGATTCAAGTGCACAGAATAACACAGACGTGACAAGGGCCACTCATGGGTTCAATGAGGGACTCAGACTCCAAAGCTGAATGTCCTGGCCCTTGTTTGCTGTTGGGACAGTGGACAAACTATCTGATGTGTATAAATAGGAGCAACTAAAAGCCACCCATAGTGAATAAGGACGCTCTGCTTAAGACTTTGATGTGTAACTAATAACTCATAATTATTGCAGATTATTATCTGACACCCACTGAAAACTGGTCACTGAGCTAGTTCCCGAAGAGGATGGGCTGGATCAGAGAAGAAGGCCACAGTGCAGAGGACCTAGGGCTATAAAAGGAAGACTTAGGTTGATAACAAGAGCCCTGAATTTCGTGGAGGCCATTGACTTATGAAGCTCTCACACACCGTGACCCTCCACCACCTACTCCCTGGATGACTCTGGTCCTTTCTGAGTCTTTCCCTCTCTGGACCTTAGTTTCTTTATCAAAAAGTTTAAGTATTGGATCTGGTCAGTGGTTTTCAAACAAATATGGTAGCAGAACCTTTTATGTTCCTCTGTGTAAATCCTCATTGGAACTACATATATAAAACTGATCACAGTAGGAGAGGGTCCCTCTTACCTCTGCTCAATGACTCCTAACATATCCATAATCGTAAATCACTATTGCAGCCTGGCCCAAGGCTAAACTCTTGACATACTTTAACTCAGTCAACCCTCACAACACTCATAGTCCTTATAAAAGTTAAGTGATTTGCCCACTCACAGCCAAGAAGAAAGTAGAGATTCAGAGCCCGGGCTTACCACCTCCCACAATTCTACCCTCATTCCCCAGTTCCAGACTGGTAGGAAGGGTGAAGTTATCTATCGCCAAAGAGGTTAGAAAATAAAAGGTTTCCACTGGCTCAGTCTTCAAACATTAAGGAGGGGGTAGGGGAGCACTTGCTGAATCTGGGTTGCCACCGAGGTGGAAGCTCCTTACATAGAGACTTGGAGTATGTGTGCCAACAACCCCCACCCCCAGCAACCACACATGCAAAGGTCAGACAGAACACAGTTCCAGCAGGCATTCAGTAAGCAATTGGCCCACTTTGCTCTAACACAGGCAGAAAAAAAGCAGAGAAATTAGAAAGGCTGATATGTGCCCATTACCTAAATCCTTTTCTCTCTGGGCTCTGATGCAAATGGCACCTTTCTAGGACACTTCCTGACAGACCTGACATTCCCATCTCATGACCTCTGTGAATCCTCTGTGTTTCCCCCACCACTCACTTCTGAGCCTGCATTCATCAGGGGTGTTTCAGGATGTAGCTGAGCCTCTTGGGGCCATCGTGACTTCTGTTAAATGAGGTGGACGAAGGGTTGGGATCGCTTGCACACCCCATCCAGTCCTGAGTCTATAAATTTCAGATGGAAGGAAGGTCTGCGGGGCAGATATTAGTTGCTGGGAATTGAGTGGTCTCTTTCTTGGAGGTTTCCAATCAGGTTTGCAGCACAGGCTGCCTCTCCTGGGAAATCCATGGGGAAGCCTGGATTACTGGCACCTAAATAAGCCAGAGCTCTTATTACACTTTCCCTGAGAACCGCTGGGCTCTAAATCATAGAAAGGGTAAACAAGCTTTGGGATTAAACAGACCGAGGTTCCAGTTCTGGCCCCATCACTTTCAGGTTGCTTAACCTTGCACAAGGTATGCAACTTACTGGGTTTATTCTCTAATCTCTAATAGGAATGTAATTCATACCTTGTTGTGATGGTTAATCCAACAAACTATTATATTAACATTGGCCAACACATGCCCAAGTACAATGAAAGGTAGCTTTTGCTTTTTATGAATAGTTGTAGTGGTTCACTGTGAAAGAGTGAACACCGATGAAAATAATGAGCTCCTGGTTAGTGCGTGGTGGCCACAAATCATAGTTGGCAAAAAAACAGCATTATCATTTTCCAGACCCCAGAATTTTAGTTAAATACGCACAATTTTATTGATTGAAGAGATTAGGACAAAAACATTAAACCAGATACAGGACAAAGCACCAGAGGCCATAGATTTCCACCGTGCATGTCACCAACCTTTCCTCCTACAAGGTACTTAAAAAATAGGGGAGAGGGAAGAAAAAAAGGTCCTTCTTGACACAGCACCATCTTCAGAATGTAAATAAAAACCTCTGTCCTTTATATCTTCCATTATCAAAATAGAATCAAGGGCAAATCCATGGCCGCCTTGTCTCCTGATTATGAATGGTGAAGCCGCCCTCCTGGGAACATGGAGGACAGGGCTCCTGCTGAGCAGGCATAAAGCATCCAAGAGCCTGCACATACATGCCACGTACTATAATGAAGCACAGATTCAAGTAACATTTACATACTAGAGTCCACGTGTTATCTACCCAAAAACATGACCATTTCACAAAACATATACAGGCAGCAAAATCCAAACAACTGAGGTACTGGAAACACAAATATTTATGCCAAAAGAGTTCTGTATCATACAGCAATAGAAAAGCCATAATAAAAAAAAATTGCCACTTAAAATCAAATAAAGCTATCTAGAGAAGCCAAATAAAAGGTTATTTCAGAGACAGAAATACTCAACAAGAAAAAAAATTATAAATGTTAACTACAGCATGTAACATGTCATCCCAAGTCAACCCGTAATTGAAGTACTGGCTTAATACATCACAATGTGACATTTTCCTTAATAAATAGAAGAGTTCTTGAAAATACAAAGGTGCGTATTGGGATAGAGAGCTGTTTTTATCTATATCAACTTAGCTTTCAGCTTTATTATCCTTCCTGCTTGTCTTTACTGAGGGTTTTTGTCCAAACTAGAGGGCCTTCCAAGCCAAAAGGATCATCCTTCGTAATGAAAACTAAATAGCTGCCCTGTATTTTATACATGTGGGACAACCTGCTTCGTTTCACGAGTTTCCTATGAAACGAGGACAAAATGTCTAGTGGAGATGAGAGTGCTGCAAAAGCATCAGACTCCAGAAGCTTCCTGCTGTCTCCGAGCACTGCAGCCTCTCCGCAAAGAGGACGTTCCTGTAGTGCAAACCCTCATCGCCCAAAGAAAAAAACTGAAAAAGGGGTTGAATTTCTCTTCTCCTTTCCTCTTCCCCTTTTTCTCCCCTTTAAACTATGATAGCAGTAATGCATCTGGAAGTTTGACTTCTAATAGCTTCCTGCCACAAACCAATTGACATAAAACAGAAGAGCTTGTTAAAGGACAGATTTTTTCCCTTTCAGGGAGCGAAGCATTAACATGTCATTTCCTGACCAGGATATTAAATAGTTTATTTAGAAGAAATGAATTGAAGAGAGCGATTAAAAGACACAAACTGGACTTTTGTTTTCCTTTAGTTTAGCACCCAGGTTTCATGTCAGTCTGTGTGCACCAAATTTTTTTAAGTGAACCCCATTAATGATCAAATAGGTGGTTGGCTTGTTTTTTTTTTTTAAATTCCTCGGTGGCCAATTGTTCCTTCCCTGAATCATAACAAGAAGTTAAATGCTAACAGTGCGATGCCAAGATGTGTGTTTGAGGCAGAGTTTCAATTCTGTCAGAATCTGCAACTATTTTTGAACAAAACAAAAAGTGGGGTAGGTGGAAATGGCCCATCTGGCAAGGGGTGGTCTCCCAGGGAAGAGAAACTCCAGGGGGCTCCCATCCACCTGACCCCAACCCTCATCCCACGTCTGTTGACCCCATGCTACAGGTTAAGTCAGCTCCTTGAAGGTTTGCCTTCTCTGAACCAAGAAACGTGTGAGTCTGAGTGTCTTTCCTGCTACCCCGCCAGGCAATCTGTGTTCCCTGGAGGAACTTCCCGTGGCCCTCTCTCGCTCCTGGTACCTGCTATGTCTCTGTGGGGGGGTGAGCAGCTCAGTTAAAGAAAGGGTCCAAGTTCTCTTCCATGTTGACATCTGGCACCAGCTGGTCAGACAAATCTTTAGCACCGTATCCTGAATTCGAGACGCTAAAATCTGTAGAAAACCAAGGATGGTCCAGAATCTCCTGTGAGGTCAGCCGCTCTGAGGGCTCCCGCCGCAGAATGCTTCGGATGAGGCACTTGGCCTTGGGTGACAGAGTCTCTGGAATGTTGAACTGGCCACGCCGGATCTTGCTGAAGAGAGAACTGGGCTCAATGTCATGGAAAGGGTAGCGGCCCACCAGCATGGTGTAGAGCATCACGCCCAGGCTCCACACGTCGGCCGCTTTGCCCGAGTAGCTGCCGCTGGTGTTCAGGATCTCATGCTAACAGTGCGATGCCAAGATGTGTGTTTGAGGCAGAGTTTCAATTCTGTCAGAATCTGCAACTATTTTTGAACAAAACAAAAAGTGGGGTAGGTGGAAATGGCCCATCTGGCAAGGGGTGGTCTCCCAGGGAAGAGAAACTCCAGGGGGCTCCCATCCACCTGACCCCAACCCTCATCCCACGTCTGTTGACCCCATGCTACAGGTTAAGTCAGCTCCTTGAAGGTTTGCCTTCTCTGAACCAAGAAACGTGTGAGTCTGAGTGTCTTTCCTGCTACCCCGCCAGGCAATCTGTGTTCCCTGGAGGAACTTCCCGTGGCCCTCTCTCGCTCCTGGTACCTGCTATGTCTCTGTGGGGGGGTGAGCAGCTCAGTTAAAGAAAGGGTCCAAGTTCTCTTCCATGTTGACATCTGGCACCAGCTGGTCAGACAAATCTTTAGCACCGTATCCTGAATTCGAGACGCTAAAATCTGTAGAAAACCAAGGATGGTCCAGAATCTCCTGTGAGGTCAGCCGCTCTGAGGGCTCCCGCCGCAGAATGCTTCGGATGAGGCACTTGGCCTTGGGTGACAGAGTCTCTGGAATGTTGAACTGGCCACGCCGGATCTTGCTGAAGAGAGAACTGGGCTCAATGTCATGGAAAGGGTAGCGGCCCACCAGCATGGTGTAGAGCATCACGCCCAGGCTCCACACGTCGGCCGCTTTGCCCGAGTAGCTGCCGCTGGTGTTCAGGATCTCGGGGCTGACGTAGGCCGGGCAGCCGTGCTTGTCAGACAGGGAGTCATCGTCTCCCCGCAGAATGTAGGCATCTTCCAGGCTCTCCAGCTTGACCCGAGTCCTGCAAGAAAGGGAGGAAACATGAGCTCCAGAGGATGCACATCATCATAACGCAGCTCCTGCTGTAATCATGGTTTCTAAAGACCCTCCCACCCATGCATTCACTCGTTCATCTGACCAGCCAGAGACCACTTACTGACACTTCTAGTCGCCAGACACCATTCCAGGGCCGGAGACGCACAGGTGAGCAAGACTGACAGGGTCTTTTCATAAAGCTTACAGTCTACTGGGGGATGCAAACCTTTAGTAAACAAACCATAAATAGCATAATTATTTTCTCTGTCTCGATGATGAGGGAACAAGAAATTATGTGATTTTCCCAAAGTCACATTTTTGTAACTAAAGGGCTCCACAGGATTCTAACTCAGATCTAATCAGCTGACAAGCCCACACAGATCAGCTCACAACTTCCGACGGACTTTTGGCTAACATGGTATGGCACAACACAGTCTGCTAAGACCTTTCACATTAATTGAATTTTGGCCTCACAACAGGGCTTTTTGCTGATACGCAGGATTTTACTATCCCATCTTAACAGACTAGAATATCGAGGCTCAGAGGGTTTGAGTAACTTTCCCAGAGCCTTTTTAGCTGGGAGTTGGAGAAGACTTACTTCCACAGCTTCCTCAGTCAGCCCTGTTGCTCTTTCTGCTATACCAGCTGCCTCTGTTTAGGCCACAGGCAGAAGCAGGGAATGTCTGAGCAAGAGAGGGCTCCCAGAACCTCGTCCTTCCTCGTCCTTGACGTGAGGTTGACACCCTCACTTCCAGCCCATCTTCCTTCCCAGATTTCCTGCTGAAGTTGTCTTCTGTCCTGCCCATCACATACTCATAGCCTGGTCCTCAACCTGGTACATATCATGTGACTTAGGTTACCTGCATCTAATGCCTGTGCCATGCACCTGACTGTGCCGTGAGATTATGATCGCTCACGTGTGTGTGTGCACACGTGTCTGTGGGAATAGCATCAGGAGCCCAAGTCCTTCTCAAACTATTCGCCCTGTCCCCAGTCTTCCCCTGCCATTTAAGGACTACCATGGTGGCTGGTAAGAATGTAGGACTCTCTCGGGTGTGCTGGGGAAAAGAGGTTGAGACATTCTGCATTCAACTCTGAGTCCTGGAACCCAGCCTTCATTCCTACCCAGCAAAGCTCGATGTCACCATTGGGCATAAAACAAGTGAAGTGCTCAGTAAACAGTTTTGGAAATAAGCTGAATTCTTATATTAACTATACCTAATTTACTCAGGACCAGGTCACAGTGCCTTGTTCAAGGTTGCACTGAAAGTCACTGAGAGCTGTGCTCCCCGCACAGCCCTACGCTCCTGGTCAGGCCTTGTCTCCTTAGCCTCGATGCTTCCCGAGAATTCCTGTTTTCCTGCTCTACCATTCTGGAGAAGAAAGTTAGGAATTACTGCCTTCCAGGGTTTGAAACTGAAACCCTCCCCCTACTCTCCTGGCTGGAGCACCGCCCTGCGAAGGGACTGTAGTTTTCAGGCCCGTGCACTCGGTTGATCCCAGCCCCCCTGCACTGACACTGCGAAGGTGACGATGGATGTGGGGGAGCTGGAGCTCGGGTTCAGACAACACCTCCAAGGTCCGTGCTCTTCCCACCACTTGTCCCCTTCAGCTCAAGAGGAAACATCCAGCCTCCATCCATGTGCTCGGAGGGGTTAGGAAGCTCACATGAGCAAAGACTAGGAAAGTGCTTGGGAAAACTACACAGGACCGAACCCGAAGATGGGGCTGGTGACTCAAGCCTGTCTTCTGCTGCTTCTCTTCCTCCCTCTGCCTGCAAGTCTTAGCCTTTCAGGGTGACCACCACAGCCACTAAGAAGGCCACAGAAGGGAGACAGTCTCAAATTAGCCAGGGGAGAGTTGCAGGAGCTCTCTATAGCAAAAGGTTTGGTGAAGTCCTCGGTTGATTCCAAGATCTCATATTTGGACTGCAGGAGTTCCAAAGATCAAGGACCAATAGTTCCTGGGCTCATTTCCACTGATGAGCAGGAAATGGTGTGGTTGCGGGAAAAGGTGCTGGGCTAGGAGCTAGGAGGGCAGTTTCCAGGTCAGGCTCCATCTCCCACCTGCTGTGTGGCTGTGGCTGAGTCACTCAACCTCTCTGTCTCTCAGCTTTAAAGAAGAGCATTGGACAAAGCAGTCTTTTTGTTTTTTTAAAAATATTTTCCTGTGGTAAAATATGCATAACATACAATGTACCATTTTAACCCTTTTTAAGTGTACAGTTTATATACAATACATTCAGATTGCTGTGCAACCATCTGGACAAGGTGGTCTTAAAGTCCCTGCCAATTTTAACATTCTGGGATTCTGTACTATACAGCAACACATCTTTTTCTTTTTTATTTGCTCACCCATATTCTATTATCTACAGTACACATGTTCTTCTCCTGCCCCTATAGCTAATGTTCTGTAAATATAGGAAGGATGTAGATGTGCTAATCTGGAATTGAGCGGATTAAAAACAGATCTCTTTCTTCCTTTTGCTTTTTCTAATCTAAGGTGGCAGGTGGAGCTGACCCACCAGCCTTACTAGATATTCTAAGACCGGAGGGAGGTGAGTTGGTGAAACTCAAGGGACAGTGAGGACAGAAGGGGAAGGAAATGGATCTGGAACCACAGGTACAAGTGGGTTTTTTCAACAGCAGCCTCCACCCACCCACCCTCCGCCTGAAAGCTCTTGCCTAGTTTCAGGAGCAAGCCAGGCTCATCAGCCCCAATTTCAATGTCTTGGCAGCAGAGTGGCCATGGGAATAATTACAACTGTGGAGCAAAAATAATAATAATGAGCCCCCATCTGCATGATGAGGGGTGGTCCAGTGGAATCGGCAGGAGCCCTGGGATCAGAGAATGCAGGTTTGGGGCCAGGTTCCTCTGCCAGAAATCTCCAGTGGTGTTACAGCCCATGCAGTGGAAGCCTATGTCTTTGCCATAGCTGCACAGTGACCACCACGGCCGCTCGATTGCCTCTTCAGCCACACTCTCTGCTTCTATCCCAGCCTCTTTGCTGTCCCTCAAATGCACTTCTTCGACACGGTCCTTCTGGGGTCCTTTGCCATGTTATTCCCCTGTCCAGAAGGCTCTTCCCCCAGTTATGCAAACAGCTCACTGTTTGCAGTTCTCTGCACCAATGATCTTTATTAAAGAGGCCTTGCCTGTCCATCCTACATAAAGTAGCACCCCCCTCACACACCCCTCATCACCATCAGAAATACTACACACTGCCAGGAGCTCATGGGCATGTGGTTGAAGTCACTTTGTACATAGAGAACAATACTTATTTTTGCTGCTGTGCCTTGATCACCAACACAAGTACCTAGCACAGAGCAGACTCGATACAGGAATGACAGAGACAGTCACATTGTCAACCCTCAGAGCTTCCATGTGCTCATGTGGAAAGGAACAAGGGCCCCAGCTCTGCCTACCTGGCCAAGGTAAAGTGGAGGTCAAGTGAGAGATCTATGGAGGATACCAGGTGCCTCTCGGGGTCAGGGTGGGAGGTAGGTATGTATTCTGGTCTTTAACTGCTCCTGGCTCAGCCCTTTCAGGAGACAGACCTCACCACCTCAAGCTCTTCATGCAGAGCCAAAACTGAAGCACTTTTCCTTCTTATCCCCTTCCAGGTCTCAACTTTGGATTTTGACTCTCTCCTACCCCCTCCCCTCCACCTCTAGGCAGCAGTGTCCCCACATTCAAAGCACCCCAATCTCTCTTCCTAGAACCCTACTCCATGTCATAGACAAGGGCCTTAGAAAATGGTTAAGACCCCATATTGTCATTTAATACCCCCCCCTTCCACCTGGGGTTCACCTTTCTCCTCCCCCAGCTTAAGATGAGGGTTTAGAAGCTACGAAGACACTTAATAAATTTGAGAATAAAATAAAAAGACCATTCCACATGCTGCCGAGGTTCGGCTGCCCCTGAGCTGATCTTTCCGACACTTTGGTCTCCTTTCTCCTTGTAGAGGCTGGGGCTTTCATGGGGAAGGTCTGGGTCTGCTAAGTCACATTTGGTTCAGGGTGTGCTGCTGTGGGTGGGGTGTGGGGGGCAACTACAGAAACCAGACCAGTTCAGAGAACAAAGCAGTGTCCTGAAGTCATGGAGACATGGGTTCAATTTCTGGCCTTGAAACTTACTAAGTACCAAATGTCAAATACCTATGTCCCTAATGCATGCTAAGCATTTTCATATATGTCCTCTTTAAAGTTTATGAGATAAATTTCCAAGACAGGTATATGACTCCTTTTTATGGCCGATGAGTCTAATGCTCAGAGAGGATGAGCGAGCGCCTGTGGCTGGCGAGGCTGGTCATTGGCTGGTGCTTGCCCTTCTCAGGCCTGTCCCCACCTACCCCAGCAACTGGCCTGGCAAACCAGGGTCAGTAGGTCGACTGGCCTCCATCAAAGTGGGCAGCACGTGTGTACCTGGGGCCAGGGAGAGCCGGCTTTGAGGCAGGAGCCCGCTCCTTCTTCATAGGAGGAGACGGGGAGGCAACGAGAAGCTGGAAAAAGACAGGAGTGGGAAATGCAGCACTGGCAGGGCTTCTTGTGACCTTGCCTCCTCCTCAGAACATCCTGGACTTGCTACATCATTTGTAGGCAAGGGTCAAGGCACCTCATCTAGATTATGTCTTTAAACAAGGACTTTTCAGGGTGCACGCCACATTGGGGTAGCAGAGGGAATTGGGACAGGCCGGGTTGGATTCCAGCTCTTGTCCCATGGGCTTGCTCTGCAACTGCAGGGGAGCTGCTGAAGGTCTCTGGCCTTGGCCTCCTCCCCTGGGAAATGGGGCTGCCACCCACATCTCTCAAGACTGTGTATGGAGAGTGCCTAGCGGGGCACTGGCACATGTCAGAAACAGGAGCAGAAATGAATGAATGGTCTTTCAACTTCTAATGTCCTTTAAAACAGTCTGGGGATCAGGAATTTTCCAGGCAAAGGAGATGACTTCCATAAAAATCAACGGAGCCTCTGTATACCTAATAA